GGGGGGGGGCCTTACAGGGTCCCTGCCAAATCATATGCAGAGACCAGGGGGAGTCCTGCCGGCGCATACACAGAGACGGGGGGGCCCTGCCAGCAGAGACCTAGAGACCAGGGACCCTGCTGACATGCACAGACACTGGGGCGGGGGCCTGCTGGCACAAACACGAGAGACTGGGGGGCCTGTGCCAGGATGTACACAGAGATCAGGGGCCCTGCTGACATGCACACAGACACTGGGGGCCCCTGCCATCAGAGACCCAGAGACTGGGGGGCCCCTGCTGACATGCACACAGACAAGGGTGGGGGAGCCTGCTGACACGTACAAAGACACTGGGGACACCTGACAGGTACAGATACTGGGGGGCCCTGCCAGTGCATACACAGACACCGTGGGCCTCTGCTGACATGCACACAGATATAGGGGGGACCCTACTGACCCGTACACAGAGACTGGGGATCCCTGTCATGCACAGACACTGGGGCCCCCTACTGATGCATACACAGAAACCAGGGGCCCCTGCTGACACATACTCAAAGATCAGGGGCCCCTGCAGCACGTACACAAAGGGCACAAGGCCCTGCTGATGCACACAGATGGGGTGGGGGACCCCGGCCAGTGTGTACACAGAGACCAAGACCCCTGCTGACATGGACAAAGACACTGGGGGGCCCTGCCAATGCGTACACAGAAACCGGGGGCCTTGCTGACATACACACAGACACGGGGGGGGGGCCCTACCAATGTATACACAGAGAGTCCCAGCTGTCCACAAGCCGGGCGAGGGGGAGGTCCCTGCGTGCAGCCAGACCCCAGGGACATGCCTCATGAAAGCAGTAGACCTCTGCGGGTCGTTCCTGGCTGGGCCATGCCGAGACACACGCGCGCCAGCACATGCATGCCCACGCACAGGCATCCACACCACTGCACACCCCCCGCTCCCCCGCCAGCCAGCCCCAACCTGTGGCCGGGCTCTTGCTTCAGCACTAACCCCCCCCCCCCCAACATGCGTGCGAGAAGCGTGTACAAAGCAAGACAGGCATGCGAGGCAGAGGACAAGGCCACCAGCTTGGGTAGCACGGGGGGGGGGGGAACATCCCGCTGCTGGTGCCAACCTGGAAACCCCCCTGCAAAGTGAGGGGCTCCTGCCCAGCAAGGCAGCGGAGCCCCCAAACTCAGCCAGCAGGACCTGAGCGTGCCCCAATTCCTTGGGCTGGGCGGCTGCCCCACCTCCCCACCTCCTCCCCCGCCCCAACCGCAGGCGGCAAACAGAGCAATGCGGAAGGCTGGGTCTGTGCCGAAAGAACATCCTGTACCCAGGAACAAACAGGCGTGTGTCAACCCCCGCCGCGGGTGCAAGGGGGGTAGTGCTGAGGCACCCGGGATACTCACGGGGTGCTCTTGGGGCTGGCCCAGGGGGGTGCAGAGGTTGGCGCTGCCTCTCCGGGGGTCACAGGGCTGGAGCAGTGTCCGCGGGGGGGGGGCCCCGAGTGCACGGGGATGGAGATGATTCTTCGGGGGTCCCAGGTGGGCGGGATGTCCTCAGGGGTCCCGTCACACGGGGATGGTCCTTGGTGTCCTGGGGGCAGGGGGGTGTCCTCAGAGGTCCCAGGTGCGGGGCTGTGTCCCCAGGGGTCTGGTCTCACAGAGATGAAGGGGGGGGGTCCGGGATGCGGGTGTCCCCGGGGGCCTGTCACACGAGGCCGGAGCTGCGTCCTCAGCGGTCCCAGGTATGGGGGTTTCCTCAGGGATCCCGTCACACGGGGATGGAGCCGATTCTTCGGGGGTCCCGGCTGTGAGGGGGCGTGTCCTGGGGGGTCCCGTCACACAGGGATGGAGCTGCGTCCTCGGGGGTCCTGGTCACATGGGGATGGAGATGATTCTTTGGGGGTCCCAGGTGTGGAGGGAGTGGGTGTCCTCGGGGGCCCTGAGCACAGGGCTGCCTCCTCAGGGGTCCGGGACACGTAGCACCAGCACGGTGCCCTGTCACACGGCACCGGAGCAGGGTCCACAAGGCAGGCACGGTGTCCCCAGGTCCGGGGGCCGCAGCGGTGGACGGCCTCTGGCTCGGGGGCCGCGGCAGGGGCCGGGGGGCTCAGACGAGCGCGGGGGCGGCGGAGTCCGGGCCGAGCGTCCTTGCGCCGAGGGAGCGACGGGCGCAGTGAGGCGAGCAGGCGGCGGGTGCGACGCTGGCCCCCGC